GCTGAGCCAAGACCGGCCATGGCCACGGCGATGCTGTCCGACCCCTCCGCCCCCCTTCCGACGTGACGCCAGACCCTTGGACGCTGAGGGTGCAAGACCCTTGAACCTTGGACGGTCGCGGGCGGGTCGCCGGTGGGTCGCGGGTGGACGCAGGGTAAGGATGCGTAACTCATCCCCCCTCCACTGCACCTCCTCCACCTCCTCGTCCTCCTTCCCGGGGATCTCCCCCGGAATCCTCCCGCATGCTCCTGATCATCACCTGCGCGCGTGCGCGAGCGTGCTCGTGCTTGCGCCCGCGCGGTGGCGGACGAGGAGGCACTAGCAAGGATGCACGCAATGGCGCAAGGATGCAAAGCCCCTCGGGCTCAGGATGCAAGACCCGTGGACGCCGAGGATGCGAGACCCTTGGACGGGCGACGCTATGGATGCAAGACCCGGGGACGCTCGTCGTCGTCCGTCGTCTGGGGTGGACGGCCCGGGCGCCGGCGACCGTGCCCGAGACACGGTCGCCCCCCCCGATCCACCAGACCCCTCCAGCCAGCCGCGCCCTGAGGGCACGGCCAGCGATGGGGGTCTGGCGGGAGCGGGGGAGCGCGCGGGCCTTCCACCCCCTCGGACAAGGATGGGGGATGAAGAGGAGGACCGGCGGTGGACAGACCTCCCTTTAACAAACCTCTCTTTAGCGAAAACGACCTGGGACCGAACCCGACGGGCCTGGACCCGCAAAAATGACGGCCGCGACGCCCTCTCGAGAACCGAAAACGGCCGATTCGCTAATCGACGCGTCAGGGTAGGAGGTCTATCAACCCCCGAGAGGAGGCGAGGCACCGAGCTTCCAGGAACGAATCGCTCACCATGAACGTTTTGCAAGTGCGGCTTCATCAAATCAAATCGCTCACCATGAACGCTCACTGACTCACTGCAAGTGCGGCTTCATCAGATCGAATCGCTCACCATGAACGCGCACTGATCAGCGGCTTCATCAGAACGAATCGCTCACCATGAACGTTTTGCAAGTGCGGCTTCATCAGATCGAATCGCCATCGCTCACCATGAACGCTGCGAGCGGGGATCGCCAGGCGGCTTCATCAAATCGAACCGCTCAGTCCGACGCCGCGCGGATGTCCCGGATGCGAGTAACCTGGGGAGGGCGAGGGGGAGGAGTAGGAGATGGGAGGAGGGGATGGGGATGGGAGACGAGAAGGAGGGAGGAGGGGGGAGGAGAGGAGGAGGACGAGGAGGAGGAGGAGGGAGAGAAGGACGGGGAGAAGGACGGGGAGAAGGACGGGGAGCTGTCCAGGGGAAGAGAGGGAGAAGAGGAGGAGAAGGAGGAGGAGGAAGGAAACACGGAGAGCAGGAGGAAAGAGGGCACCTCGATGGGGATGCCCGCGCGCCCGAAGCGCTCCACCACGTCGAGCAGCTGCTGCTCCGACGACAAGAACGCCGTGATGTTGTCCGACGATCGGGAGGGAAGAAGATAGAGGAAGGGCGTCATCATCATGCCGAGTGCCATCGGCCCGATGGCATGATGACGCCCTTCTTCTATCTTCTTCCCTCCCGAGATCGCGGCGGGTCCATCCAGATCGTCACGTAGGCGATCGCGTCCTCCGGCGGCCCCTGCAACTCCGTGAAGATGTCGTCGGGCTGGGCGTCGGGCGCGGCGTCGGGCTGGGCGTCGGCCTGGGCGTCAGGCTGGGCGTCGGGCTGGGCGCCGGCGCCGGCGCCGGCGCGGGCCTTGGCCTTCGCCTTCGCCTCCGCCTTCGCCTTCGCCTTCGCCGCCGCGCGGCGCTCCGCCTGCGTCGGCATCGCGCCCGCGCTGCGACGCCCTGGCGCGGCGCCACCGCGCCAGAGCCGAAACGGTTGCGATGGGGGGATCGGGGGGAGGAGGCGGAGGAGCAGACGGGGGATCGGGCGGGGCGACTAAGGATGCAATACCCTTGGGGGGCCACGACGGCCCAGGGATGCAGCGCCGTCCGGTGCCCGCGAGCGGCGGCAAGATTAAAACCCCAGAACGGGCGGCAAGGATGCAATGCCCATGGGCCCTCGGGCGCGAAGGATTCAAGACCCGCGGGTGCCTCGGGCCCGCGCCCCCCCACAGGGGCCCGCGATCGTCGATGCGATCGTCGTCGTTCGTCGTCTGTTGCCCGTCCATCGTCGGCCCCGTTCGTCGACGCACTGCGAGTCAAGTTGCATTGCTGCATTGACAGGGATGGGGGATGGGCCGCGCAGGCAATGGACGCAAGTGTGCGGCAGGAGTCTGGAGGAGGGCGGGGCACGGGCATGGGGCACGGGCACGGCGCATCAGAGCGGGCCAACCCCGCCAGAATCGTCGTCGCATCATCGTCGTCGTCGTCGTCGTATTCGCGTTCTCCCTTTTACCCACCCACCCCTCACCCCAAAATAATGCATGCCTCGAGGAAGGTCCGCCGCCCTGCATGGCGCAGCGCCCTGGGCACGTGAGGTGACTGGCCCCTGGGCCCCTTGGGCCCAACGCCCAGAATCTCGGGCCTCCTTGGGCCCAACGCCCATGCCACCACAGCGGCGCGGCGCCTCGTCCTCCGGACGGCGCCCGAGGAAGGCCCGCCGCCCTGCATGGCGCAGGCGCCCTGGGCATGCGAGGTGACTGGCCCCTGGGCCCCTTGGGCCCAACGCCCAGAATCTCGGGGCGAGTCCAGCCGCGGCGACGAAGGCTCCCCAGGACGAGCAACGGCGTCGTCTAACCCCAGACGCCCTCACCTTTAACCTGACGCGGCCCGATGGTACACCGTGCCCTCCTCCTCCCCCTCGTCCTCGCCATTCCTGGCGGATCCACAACCCAGTGACTCAAAATGTGGCTCTCGCCTTTTGCGCCGCGGACACTCGTCTTACGTAAAAGTTCGCAGCGGTTACGCGGATGGTCCCCTCCTCCACTGCCCCCTCCCCCCCCTCCTCCTCCTCCCACCTGCTCCTCCCCCCCTCGCCCCTGCCGGGCCTTCGGGTCGGCGCCGTCGACGTCGCCCGCGGTGCCCTTGAGCGACAACGTGTGCCAGGAGCGCGCCGACCTCCGTCTCCTGAGGACCCCCGGCATCACCTGGTCGCCGAACCGCAAGCCCATCTTGCGGTTCCACCCCTGCGACAAGGTGGAGTACCTCCCAGGGCCGAAGAATACGTGCCAACACCTCTCCCCTCCCCCCGTCGCCCCACCGCCCCTCATGCATCCACATACTGGATAGCATGATTCTGATGTAACGTGCAGCAATGCAATGTATAGGGGTATACTATATATAGTGTATATGTATATATATATATCATATATATATATATATATGTATTATATATTGTCCTCGGAGGCGTCGGGGGGAGGGGGCGGGGTGGCACGCATTCCTAGGGCCAGTGAATACCTCTTGCCGACCTGCCCCAGCTCGCGCTCGAGCCGCCCCGCCCGCCGAGTCAGCCTCCTCTTGATCCGCCAGATGGGGACGCGCTGGTCGCCCCGCTGCCTGACTCGCCGCCGCGGGGCCACTGCCTCTGCGTCCTGGGCCTCCTGGGGGCGCGGGCGAACGCTCGATTCGGCGCGCCCCCCTCCTACGTTTCGGAACACCCCTCACGCTGCGACTGACGACGACGGACCCCGCTCGTTTCGGCACACCCCTCACACGCTCACACGTTTCGTGCCACGTTACGTGCTGAAGCCCGGTGCAAAGGTGGAACCCTGCCCCCCCCTTCCCCCTTCCGGGGCCCTTCCGAGCCCCAGAATTCCCAAATCCAAAACAATAGTACGGGCGCATGGTTAGGATGCAAGACCCTCTTGCAGCGTGGACGCCCCTGGACGCAGCGTGGCCTATAGCCCATTAGCCTATGGCCCATGGCGCAAGCAATGGGGGGGGGGCAAGTTGCTTCTCGGCGGCCGAGGGCGCAATCGAAAATGCTAGCCTCGTTCCATGGTCCCGCCTGCCCCCCCCCTCCCTCCCCCCCCCCTCCCCAGACACGTCCCCCTCCTTCGTCTCCTCCTTCCTCCTCCTTCCTCATCATTATTCCTTCCACCTCCTTCCTCATCCTCCTTCATCCTTCCTTCTTCCTCATCCTCCCTCCACCTTCTCCGAGCTGCGGCCAGCAGTGGCGACGACGGGGGCCCCCGAAGGTCCGAAGGTCAACTTGTCTCCACTGGCCCTCCTCTGAGCATCGCCGTCAACAGCCAGCGCGGCAACGATGACCAATGACCAGGGGAGGGCCAATTTGAGACAGAGACCTAATCAAAATCTGCAGACTGAAAACTGAAGACCGAGCTGCGCCGAGCCGTGGCGACGAGGGGCCCCCCGAAGGTCCGAAGGTCAAGTGCCGTTATTCTGTTATCTCAACTGGCCCTCCTCTGAGCATCGTCGCCAACAGCCAGCGCGGCAACAGACGACGACTAGAAGAGGGCCAATTGAGACAACGGCTCCTCAAAATCCGATTGTCGATTGAGGTCCCGCGCGGCGGGCTGCGCCGCGACGCCATCGGCGCCGCTCGGCGCCCCGAAGAAGCCCTCGTCGAAGACCGACGGGGCCCACATCGGGCCAACGCGGCGCGGAGGGCGCACCCCCCTAAGCGCCTAAGCAAAACGACATCGGGCGAGGCGAGGAGGAGGCGGGGGAGGAGTGCGACAGGAGCAAAAGGATGCCGAGGTCACCTGGTCACCTGACTTCGCGCGTCGCGAACCGCGATGCGCGACGCGCGGTGCTCTTCGCCCCCTCGCGCCGACATCCTGGAGATGGGCAGCTCTCTAGCCCAGGCCGCGACGCGCAAAGCGCGACTATCTACGCGCCGAAGAGAATGGGACCGGGTAACCTAGGACCTAGGATACGCAGAGAAATGGCGCGATGGCGAAAAGGATGAGGGATGAGAGGGCGAGCTTGTAACAGTAAGTGGACGGGGCCGGAAGGAGGAGCTAGCGCAGCGCCGGAAGAGGGAGGAAGCCAGGATGAGGAAATGATGAGAGGAGAGATGAGGAAAGGCTGAGGGAGTCGGATCCTTTCTACTTTCTACGTTGCCGACGTGGCGCTGGCGACCGTCTCCTTGGCCGATGCGGCGTTGCTGAGCAGTCGCCCCCCGGGCAGCACGGCCTCGACCCGCCCCGCAGGTCCGCCGAACAGCCTGCGCGCGCAGTGGGCGGCCAAGAGCTGGCTGTAGACGTCTGCAAGGGGAGTGTCAGGCGCTGCCCTCGCCACGAAGCGTTCCACCCCCTCGAAGGTCAGGAAGCGCATCGAGCCGCCGTCGATGACCGCCTGCAAGACGTGGACCTCCCTCAATGAGGGCGTGTACTGGCCATCTGGAATGTCGCACTGGCCCTCGTCATTGGTACCGCAAGCCACGGCAATGCCGTCGGATGTGAGCAGCACCTCGAGCGTTCTAGTCGCTACGGCTGGATTCGCCTTTGATGCGATTGATGCGGGGTCTCGTCGCCACGGGCGGCGTCCGGGACCACCTCGAAATCTACATCCCAAGAGCTCTGCCCGAAGCCCTGACTCCCAAATCCAAGTCCTATGGTCAGCCCGCGCCCCGGGAGAGTTGGGGGGATCACAAATCACCGCCGACCACCGACCACCACCAACCACCAACAGCCAGCACCGCTCCCCCCGGCACTGCACCGTGTGATCAGCTCCAGCGGACACCTGCGTGTAGGTTTGGTCGCCGCGCAGCGCTGGGAGATCGCACTGTCCGAAATCATTCGAACCGCAAGCAGCGGCGGTGCCATCGCTCATGAGCAGCACCGCGTGGAGCCCCCCAGCGGCTACTTGTGTGTAAGTCGAGCCCTCATCCAGCGGGGGGATGTCGCACTGCCCGCGGTCATTGTGGCCGCATGCCACCGCCGCCCCGCCGCTCGTCAGCAACACTGTGTGATGTTCACCAGCCGCAACTTGCGTGTAGGTCTGGCCCGCGATCAGCGCGGGCACCTGCGCGGCCAACGACTCCACGTAGTCCTCGTCCATCGCGTCTTGCACGTTGGCCGTCTCGCCGCGCATCCACGGCGGCGGTTCGAAGCCGCGGGCGACAACGGCCCACCCCCAGCGCCGGGACGTCGCACCTGCCGCCGTAAACCTCGCCGCGGGCCACGGCCGTGCCATCGGTCCTGAGTAAAACTGTGTGTCGTTGCCCACACGCGTTCCACATGGTCACGCGGTGTGCCAACAGTACTCGAGACAAACTGGCCACGGACGGGGGGAGGAAGGAGGTGGAGGTCCCACAGGCCCACAGGAACTCCCCAGGGCGCGAAACGTGTGAGGGGCGTGCTGATATCAGAGGGGGGCGGGGGGGGCATGTATGCCTTATGCCTAATGCTGCATGCGAACGCACCCATTTGGCTAAACAGCTTTAAGCCGCTCCCCATGGGCCACGGGGCCCATTATCAGCCTCGGGACCATGCTTTGTGTGGCTTGTATGGTAGAAACCATATGGCCCATACAAGACAACTATCGGTAAAACAAGACAATTAAAGGGAAACCACAACACAATTAAAGGGAATACAAGGCAATTAGCGGGAAGGATTAACGGAAGGCTGAATCACCAAAAGGGGGGTGGGACACCACTTGCAACAGTTCGGGCGAGCTCAACACACGCAGGTGCCTCCTGCGGAGACGATCCTCGGGGCACCGCCATTTTCCTCTCCTGCAAGGTCGCGCGCAGTCGGGCCGCGCGCTGAGCTAGCGCATGCAAGGCGGCCCCGCGGCGAGCCGGCGAGGTGGACCATCGGGCCGCGGGGGCCGCAGGTGAGCAGGCCAAGACAAATGTGCACAAACGCCCTCCGCGATCACGAGTGCACAGGCGGCCGTGCTCAAACGCAGGCAACCAGAAGCTCACCGCGTACACGTACACACGTTGCTGTCCTCTGAGCTGGGCCTGCAGGGCGGCGGGGCGGGGCGGGCGCTGAAGCGCCCTCGCCTCGGCCCAGCGTGCTCCTCCCAGTCCCCATCCTGCTCCTCACCCAGCCTGGAGGAGGAGGGGGGAAGCGGGTAAGCGCCACCCTGACAGGTACCTCGGCCACCCAGCTTTGCGCATCGCGCCCCGCGATGCGCGACGTGCGATCATTCGCGCCCTCGCGCCTCACGCCACCCGCCTGGAGAGGGGCAACCGCTCGGGCCCAAACCTCGACGAGCAAAGCGCGATTGCCTCCGCGCCCATGCGGGGAAGGGCAGGGGGAGGAAGAGGCGAGGGAGGAGGCGCGGCCGGAGGAGGAGGGGGTGCGCAGACAGGCCACAATCCGAGAAACCAGATCCTCGCCGTCGCCCCACTGCTGCCCCTGCCCCTGCCCTCTCCCGTTCACGTCCCGTTCCACGATCCCCTCCCCCGCCTGCTCCCCCTTCTCCCTCCTCCTCCCCCTCCTCCTGATCATCTTCGTCCTCCTTCTCCTCCTCATCCTCCTTTTCCCCCTCCTTCTCCTCCTCCTCCTCTCCTCCTCCTCCTCCTCCTCCTCCTCCTCCTCCCTCCTCCTCCTCCTCCTCCTCTCCCTCCTCTCCTCCTCTCTCCTCATTTCCTCGCTCGTCTCAACCTCCTCCTCCTCCTCCTCCTCTCCTCCTCCTCCTCCTCCTCCTCCTCCTCTCCTCAATATGATCCCCTTGTCCTCCCCTTCCTCCTACCCCTTCGTCGTCCTCCTCCTTCTCCTCCTCCCCCTCCTCCTCCTACTCCTCCTCCTCCTCCTCCTGTTCCTCCTCCTCCTCCTCCTCCTCCTCATCACCATCATCATCATCATCATCATCATCACCACCACCACCACCATCATCATCTTCATCATCATCATCAGCATCATCATCATCGCCACCACCAGCATCATCATCATCATCATCATCCTTCTCCTCCACCTCCTCCTCCTCTTCGTCCATTACTGTTCCTTATGAATTACTTTTCCGTGTCGAGCCCCGAAACCAGTCAAACAGGCGAGCCGCGCGTTTCGCCTCAGACTTGTTTAGCAATTATGAGCCTGAAGCTTAAAAGCTAAGAACAGTTTCATTGATGGAGGGCGGGTGGTTTTCAAAATGTGGTTTTCATCCTGGCGTCGCGCACATCCGTTCAAACATCGCAAAACTTTCACGGATTGAATGCGGTTCGTTTTCGAGATAAGGTTTCCACCATAGCGCCGCGCACACTCGCTGGAACAAAAATTGAAAGGGTTTCCGTGGCTCTCGCCTTAGCGGCGCGCGAATGCGTTCTCAGTTTGCAACAAAAGCTTGACGGATTCTCGCCCTAGCGCCACGCACATTCGTTTTAAACGTCTGCAAAAGTTTCACGGGTTGACGGCGGGTGGATTTCGAATTGTGGCTCTCGCCCCAATGTTTGCAAAAGTTTGACGGATTGAGGGCGCGTGGTGTTCAAAATGTGGTTCTCGCCTCAACGCCGAGCGCATTCGTCCAAACGTTTGCAAGAGCTTCACGACTTGAGGGCGGGTGGATTTCCAATTGTGGTTCTCGCCCCAGCGCCGCGCACATGTGTTCCAAAACTGCAAGGGATTCCGATGATTCGAATGGCTAACGTTCCAGCAACAGTATTTCTGGAACGGCTCAGGATTGCCAGGGCGCAACAAATAAGTGGATTCGCGGTTTTGAAGTCCCCGCACTGGTGTTCTGGCACGGTTCAGGATCGCCAAGACGCAACAACCAGGTTGACTCGTAGAATTGAACTCCTGAGAATGGTGTTCTGACACGCTTCGGGATTTTCTCACGGCCGTCCCCCAACGTGACAATTCCCTCCGTGGAAATGGGCCCTTGTAGGGGCCTATGAAGAGGGAGCTTGGAGGAAGGTGTATTCCAACATCGTTGATGAATCTTGGGTTGACACTGGTCCTCCTCCCCCCCCTCGTCCTCATCATCATCATCATCAACAACAACATCATCACCAACACCATCATCATCCTCATCGTCCTCCTCTTCCTCCTCCTCCTCCTCACCATCCCCCCTTTGTTAATATTATTCTTCTGCTTAAAATGATGCTAATGCCATTTTCAAAACAAAAAATAGTCGTATTAGTAATACTCTTATTATGAGTATTCGTTTCATGTCTCTTCACAACCTTATTATTCGTATAAGAATAGGTAGTCGTCGTCTTATTCTTAACAGTAGTACTATATTCCGTGGTGTTCGTTCTATTATGGTGTGAGTTGGTATTGCCATTATTAGTATGATCATCCTCCTGCTGTTTCTTGTGTTTCGTTCTCCTCCTCCCTTCCTCTTCCTCCTCTTCCTCCTCCTCCTCCTCTTTCCTCCTCCTCCTTTCTATCCTCATCCTCCGCATCCTGTTTGGCTGGGCGTTTCGCCCTTTTTCGGCTTCCCCCCCCTCCCCCCCTCCCCCCGCCCCCTCCTCCCCGTCCACAGCTGGGCGTTTTGCCTGAGATTTCCACATCCTTTCTGATCCTGCTTGAAATGCGCAACAACCTCACAAATGGAGACCAGCTCGCGTTGAAAAAGGGTTATCACCTTAGCACCGCGCGCACAAGATGTGGCTCTTGCCTTGGCGCCGCGCACATTCGCAGCGCGCGCGCGTAGATCGCGTCGTTATTTGCACGCTAGACACGCGCATCACGTGCTGTACGCGTGCCCTCTTGCCCCGCTTGCCCAACTCGCCCCACTTGCCCCGCCTGCCCCACTAGCCCCGCTTGCCCCACTTGCCCCAATTACCCCATTTGCCCCATGTGCCCGCCTGCCCCGCTCGACCCACTTGCTCGGCCTTGCCGCGCTCACGCGAACAACGCAAGTAGGGCAAGCGAGGCAAGCGGGATCAGCGGGATTGAACGCAAAACCCTTCTCCACGACCGCTTGGACGGGCTCTGACAGGACAGAGCCGTCGCATGCAAACAATCAATGTTCCCCCTCTGGCGGGCTGGCCCGCCGCGCAGGGACCGCCAAAAACAAAACGCTGGCTTCTTGCAAGCGGCAGTCGCCAGGTCGGGCGGCGCGCCTCACCCGTGATCTTGCGCGCGCTGTTTGGCGAGGCTCTGCCGCCTGGGACTCAACTGGCAAGACGATCAAGCGCGCTCCGCGCGAGCGGACACGCATGGCAGCTGGTTGCGCGCAGGGACAACGCCCATGGCAACGCCCCCATGTGTTCGCTCGAGTGCCCATGGCGTCTGCGCGGCCCGTGACAGTCTGCCATCACGCGTCGAAGTTGTCCGCGCTCAGGCGCAACTGATCCGCCGCCTCCCTCGACTGCGGATTGTCCTGGATGGCGGCACGCGTCGTCTTCTTGAAGTGGATCACGGGGCAGCCGCCCGTCTGCTGCTTGGCCGGAAGCTCCGCGCCGCCCTCGCTCACCAAGGGGTCGCCGCCCAGCGTCACGAAGGTTATGAAGTTGGCACCGTGCAAAGCAACGAGGGCGCTCTTCAAGGCCTGCGACGCCCCTGTGATCCCCTTGTTCTTCAGCGCCACCTTCATGAAAACGTGCAGTTTGTCGGTGGACTCAACCCAGTGCCCGCTGCAGCACCGCGAGCTTCAACCACTGTTTCGCCAAGGGCGCCTCGAACTGTCGAATCGTCATCCCGGAGCCCTCGAAAACGCCGGCGGGCCGCTGCTTGCGTCGGAGGACGGCGGCGCGCCGCCGCAACTGCCGCTCGTCGGAGCCACTGCCGCACGAGAGATGTAGAACCCGCGACGGATGGATCTGGCGCGTCCAGTTGTTGAGCGCCACGGCCACCTCAACAACATTGTCAAGCATATACAATGCACACTGGGCTTAATAAGAGTTCGCGGCCGCTTCACGGATGGAGCCAAGGTCGTTTTCAACATGCGTTTCTCGCCTCAGCGCTGCGCCTTTTCGTCTCCAAAGCTCGCAACAGCTTCATGGATGGAAGGCGGTGCGTTTTCACGAAACAAAAAAAGTCGCCTGAGCACCGCGCACATTCGTCTCAAATTGAGCAACAGCTTCACGGATGGAGGGATGGCGTTCGCAGCGTTGCACTCGTCTTAGCGCCGCGCACAATCATCGTGCGCATGTTTACAACAAGTCAACTGATGGAGCACAGATCGTATTCAAGCTGTGGCTCTCGCCTTCGCGCCGAGCACCTTCGTCTCAAACGCTTGCGGAACCTCAACGCAAGCAGAACTGCACGGATCCCTAGCGCCTCTTTCTAAGAATGGAGCTGTCGCTTTAGACTTACAGTCGAGGCGTTGACCTAAGGAGCCCTAAAT